GTAACGCTGTAACTTAAAGCTAAGAATACATTAATTTAACAGTGTGGTGAATTAGCAGGTGAATAAACGTCAATTGGCTCAACTCTCAGAAAAACGCTTTCTTCGGCATCGCTACCCTGAGACTCATGCAAACCGACCCAGCTAGTTTCCCGTACCTATACCGATCTTCCTTAGTTTGATCTGTGAGGACAACTTCCAGTAGCCATCATACACTGTCCTAAGGTAGAAACAGGTGTAGCAGGGATAGCACCGTTCCGACTGCGCTGATACAAGCAAAGGCGGGTGGGAAAAGAGCGGTGTTAGAGAAGTGGCGACCAACGCGATGCATGAATAATACACGAAAAATAGCGAGCCGCGTAAAGCGAAAAAGTGCAAATGTGACAATCAGCGGAGGCAAACTCCATCGCACTCCAACACACCAGGTACGAAGCCAGCATAGAAGCAAAACGCTATTCACCGCGAGATTCAACAGAGCAGCCGGAACTTCTGCCACCCACCAGACGCCGTCTCCCAGTAGCCGCAACACCAGTCCGCACGCAAATTGCAGACAGGACTTCAACCAGCCGCTGCACTATGAGTATAACAACCCAGGTTAGTTTACAATGTCGACCCGCGCGCTAAGGAGTCGAAACATAGACTTTGAGAAGGACCACACACAATTCAGTGAAAGTGAAGTAGGATGCTCGTATAGAGAACAGGAACGGTTTGAATTCCCAAGTATGGAAAACCTTAGTGAGGGTCATGAATATGATGCTAGTAAAATCCATTTGTCTAAGACCGGCCGAATCCAGACTCCAGCAGATAGGCACGGGGAGAAAGACATTTGTAACGAGGGTGATCTTAACACTGTGACAGTAGCGGAGCCTGTTAGTATAGTCAATGCAAACACACAGCTACAAGAAATATTAGCTAGCCTACTACAGAGTGTTAAACAGTGTGTTAAAGAAGCTAACGAGAAATTACGGAGGGATATAGAGAGAAGTGTCAAAGACGAAATAAGTAAATTGAGAGAAGAAGTTCGCGTAGAGAATAAGAGATTGACAGAGAAATTCGAAAGGAAAAACATTAGTTTCAGTAAATGCCTTCATGATAAATTGCAACATGAATATGCTAAGATGGGCAAATTAGTGCAGCAGATTAGGGAAGACAGTGAAAGAGAGCTTGTAGCTGTAAAGAAAAATGTTCAGGCAGTATCCAAAGAATTACATAATAAGATAGAATCACACGTGCTAAAGACAACAGAGCTGACTAGTGAGTTAGGTAAGGAAATGATCCTGCATAAGGAATTTGCTGATAAGGAAGTCAGTGAGATGAAAGAGATAATCAAATTAGTGCAAACTGAAAGGATTAACAATGCGCAAACTTGGCAGAAAGAAGCCGAAGCGAAGGTCCAAAATTTAAATGTAGAGTTGAAGAAATTGGAGTCCAGGAATGAAGGTCATT